GTGAGAATTGTAAGCACTTCAATCTTTGAGACAAATTTCTTGTTTTGGGTTTACAAATTCAAGTGAAGTAAGCATTCAATCGTCAATATAATTGAGTGTGCTTGATTACAGAGCATGGAAAAGACCAATTGACAGTGCTCAAGTGATGCAATGAGGCTAAAGAATAAATTTTTATTATATAATCATTAAATTTGTTCACTAAAAGATGTGTCATCGTTATATGTAAACTTTTTAGAAATATATAAGCTAGCTAGGCTTTTACATGAATTCAAATTTGGATACATGAAATATTGTTAGCTACTACATCATTTGGTGAACAGATTTGATGTTCCTAACAATTCTATGCGTACTAGTAAAGTACTTTGTCTTTAATTTTGAAGTACCCGAAAGCATAATGTTTTTCATATATTATCTTGCAGGAGGCAATTCAAGAAAGAAAGCCATCATTATTGGAGGTGTAGGTCTTCTTATTCTAATTGTTGGAGTTTTTCTCTATTTTAAACTTTCAAGAAAGCCCAAGGCTGCCACAACCACAGAATTCGAAGTTGCATTTCCTCTTGCATATATACTATTATTCAATTAGCTCCTGCTCTAACCATGTATACATATATATAAGAGGCTCTCTCAACTGGATACAACTAAACGACATAATCCTTGGTACAGCTAGGGGTCTTGCCTATTTACATGAGGAGTTTCATGTATGCATCATACATAGAGATATAAAAACTAGCAATATTCTTTTGAATGATAGTTTCCAGCCCAAAATCTGCAATATTCTTTTGGATGACAGTTTCCAGCCCAAAATTGCATCCAACCCAAAATCTGCAATATTCTTTTGGATGACAGTTTCCGGCCCAAAATTGCAGATTTTGGGCTGGCAAGGCTTCTACCAGATGATCAGACTCATCTTAGTACCAGATCTGCTGGAACATTGTAAGTTAAAGTACTTCACGTCCCACAGGCATAACCCCTGATGGAGATCTATATGATCATTACTCTTCTACAATATTTATACTGGTATTGTGTTCTGACCTACTTAACGTTCTATCCACACACAAAAAGTGTTATGAATCTACTACATACATCTTGTGTAGCCAAAGAGGAGTTTATCTCCACCATCATGGTGATGCTCTCTAGTGTTTCTCTCTATGTCGAAGTGTCTCTCATTTCTGTTTTAGCCTATCTGAGCAATGGTGCCCACGGCACCTCCAAATGGTGAGGCATGCTGCCCACACACTTTCTATATGCCAAGCCTTCTTTAAATAACTAAAGAATTTGGTCCAACAGCTGCATGCATGAAGAAACCATGCAAGTTGTCTTGAGCACCTTCAAAGTCCTCCACAAGACACGGAACATTAATGCACCAAAAGAGCTGGTGAAGGCATCTTATTATGGTGGGATCATTTGCATCCTCTGGAGCCTTTCTTTTTCGAAATAAGGATAGATTTTAATCATTAAACTAGGAATGTAAACGCTAGATCAGAAAGCAGATTCAAGGATTTCCATAAAAATCATAATCAACAACATTACATAGTTACAAACATACAAGTTCCATCCACAATTGGTACATATAGAGCAGAACCAGAGCAACATTGTTCCCTCACAGATACACACATCACCTTAACATATGCTCTTATTCTTTTATTGAATTACACGGAGTTTCTGACTGCATTTCTTTCTCTTTTATTCTCTTATTCGTTTATGGAATTACATATATTACATGGAAGCAGCTGACCTGGTAAAGGGTGCCTAGAATGATACTCGAATATCAAGCAATGTCATCAACTGAGAAATAAGCTCTGGTTGGCCATGCCACGCTGCTGCGGTAACCAGATTTCCATCAGTGACACAACAATCTATTGGATCCGCTTCCACAAAGATTTTAAAGAGTACTCACCTCCCTCTTCCCAATATTTCTTTACAATTGAGAGGTTAATAGGTCACAACAGATCAGCTCAACAGAACCAAAATACAACAAAGCACTAGATGTAACCTTTTTTCTTTTTTCTTTTTTTTTTAATCCCTTTTCAAGTACAATCGATAAAGTATTTCAATCTGTTTTACTTTTTCTTTAATAAGTAGCATTATATTAATGTTTTAGTGACAAACGTTTAACCACTAAATGCAGGTAGGAAATATGTTTTTTCTTTAAGAACCATACCTGCAGAACACCAGCAGCAACTAAAATTTCCAGGCCATGGCAGATGGATGCAACTGGTTTCCTGGCTTCCATAAATTGTTTCACTAGTACAATAACATCCTCATTTAGTGCCAAAAACTCTGGAGCTTTACCTCCAGGGAGTACACATATGTATATCCTCTTCCACAAACATCCCCCCTGATGAAACCACACGAGCCTTAATCCCTGGGTATCCAGTACATTTCTTCCCCTGAAATATAGCCAATTAATCCAATTATCACCACTAAATGCAGGTAGGAAATATGTTTTTTCTTTAAGAACCATACCTGCAGAACACCAGCAGCAACTAAAATTTCCAGGCATTGGCAGATTGAAGCAACTGGTTTCCTGGCTTCCATAAATTGTTTCACTTGTACAATAACATCCTCATTTAGTGCCAAAAACTCTGGAGCTTTACCTCCAGGGAGTACACATATGTATATCCTCTTCCACAAACATCCCCCCTGACGAAACCACACGAGCCTTAATCCCTGGGTATCCAGTACATTTCTTCCCCTGAAATATAGCCAATTAAACCAATTATGACATGCTAAAAAGTGCCTAATCAGAAAATAAGTACATTAACCACTAATCAAACCGAAGAAATCGAAGCTTGAGTTGACGGAGAAGCGAAATGGCTGTGACTGCGATCTTTCCTCCGCGAGCGAGGTGCAAGCTTCTTGTTCGTTTCGAATATATTTAAAGGGTATACCCGAGCGGCTATACTCTTAAAATATTCGAATATATTAGTATTTAAGGCGTATAGCGGAACGGCTATACCTTTAAAATATTCGAATGTATTTAGAACGTACAGCCGCCCGGCTATACTCTTTAAATATACAATTTTGTCATATCATTTTAAGGTTTAGGGCTAAAATACCACTTTAGCCAATTGGTCTACAGTTATTTCTTCAATTATTTTTTTTATACAAGCGATATTGGGGAATGAGAATTTAAATTTTTTCCGATACCTTCCATTCAAATCTGTAAAGTGTTGGTACTGGGGTGTGGATGAGGGTGAGCTAGACATTAGAAGGGAATCTGCACGGTTCAATTCCCCAAGTCTTCTCTACATAGTCTCGGATTGTTCTGTCATTGTTAAATCTCCCCGACCCGGCTATGCTAAGGATGCTCATATGAGTCCACTTATTTAGATCTGCAAATGCTTCATCAGCAGCAGCCTGTAGTCATATAGATTCAAATCCCACGCACATAGTAAGTTATACAACACTAAACTCAAAATGCATATATGCTTTGGGTTGGGACTGCCAAGTAAACAGAAATAATTACCTGAGCCTCTAAATAGCTCTCAAAATCAAAACCAAGCAAATAGAAGTCTTTACAACCATCCACAGTATCACATAGAGATTGAAAATAGTCTTTGCGATTGCAAGCTCCGTCCTCTGCCAGTGCAAGCTTCATGTTTGTTTGAAATATATTTAAAGAGTATTGCAGCGCGACTATAAGTTTTAAACATTCGAATATATTTAAAAAGTATAGCCGCGCAGCTATACCTCATTTTAAAATTTTAAAATTTTGAATGTGGTTGAGAGAGTTGTCATGTTGAAGTTCTATGAGATGCAATGCAGGTCTCAATTTCACATCAAAGGAGTTCAAGGATCTCTCCAAGTTTGAGTTTGAAGTTCTTTCTATTCTCTCTGAGTTTGAAAGTGTACTCCATTTCTTTTAGTACCTGCTAAAATATGAATATGGTTTGAATGTATTAGGTTGTTTTATTCTTCTCCACTGTATCGGTTCCTAATTCTTTTTTGGGTGCTGAACCTGGAGGACGAAGCAGCCGAAACCGAAGAAATCGATCCTTGAGTTGACGGAGAAGCGAAATGGCTGTGACTGCGATCTGAGCGAGGTGCAAGCTTCGTGTTCGTTTCGAATATATTTAAACGGTATAGCCGCGTCGCTATATGCTTAAAATATTCGAATATATTAGTGTTTAAAGAGTATAGCCGGACGGTTATACTTTCAAAATATTCGAATGTATTTAGAACGTACAGCCGCCCGGCTATACTCTTTAAATATACAATTTTGTCATATCATTTTAGGGTTTAGGGCTAAAATACGACTTTAGCTCATTGGTCTACAGTTATTTTTTCAATTATTTTTTTTATACAAGCGATATTGGGAAATGAGAATTTAAATTCCTTCTGATACCTTCCATTCAAATGTGTAAAACGTTTCTATTCGGGTGTGGATGAGGGTGAGGGTGAGGGTGAGCTAGCCATCATAAGGGAATCTGCATGGTTCAATTCCCCAAGTCTTCTCCGCTTGGGCTCGGATTGTTCTGTCACTGCTAAATCTCCCCGACCTGGCTGTGCTAAGGATGCTCATCTGAGCCCACTTATTTGGATCCGCAAATGCTTTATCAGCAGCAGCCTGTAGTCATATATAGATTCAAATCCCGAGCACCATAGTAAGTTATACACCACCAAACTCAAAATGCATATATATGCTTTAGGTTGGGACTGCCAAGTGAACATAAATAATTAGCTGAGCCTCTAAATAGCTCTCAAAATCAAAACCAAGCAAATAGAAGTCTTTACCACCATCTACAGTATCACATAGAGATTGAAAATAGTCTTTGCGAGTTTAAGCTCCGTCCTCTGCGAGTGCAAGCTTCGTGTTTGTTTGAAATATATTTAAAGAGTATAGCCGCTCGGCTATACCTCATTTAAAAATTTAAAATTTTTCAATGTGTTTCAGAGAGTTGTCATGTTGAAGTTCTATGAGATGCAATGCAGGTCTCAGTTTCACATCAAAGGATTGGGTGTAATATGCTGGTTCTGTTTTTAATGGTGCATTGCATGTTAGTTGTGTTTGAGTCTTCTTGTTTCTCTGTCTCTCGTTGTCTAATTAATATACCAAAATCCCGAAAATCAAGTTTAGTATTGATCTAAAATTTAGTCCATCTTCTACATGCTGCGTGTCTCATTTGAAAGACAAGTTTCTGCATTACAGTACATACCTTTTGACTCTTATATTACCTCACAAATAATGTTCATGCACCAACTGGCAAGCTTGCTCATCAACACCCACAACAGAACATACATTTAAATTTACGTTCACTACATAGATTCTGAGTTATAGTTTAGTTACATGATCCAAAGTCCACTAGCTGACTAGTCTCTCCAATCTACCAAAAAATTTCATTCATTGATAGCATTTTTTTAATAAGAAGATCTTATTGAGTCTCTCCAATGGTTCAATGCTGAGGCGCCAAACTTAGTTGTTTATGTCAACTTTGGCAGCATACTGGTCATAAAATCAGAAGACCTTATTGAGTTTTGTTGGGGACTTGCAAATAGCAAGCTTCCCTTCTTCTGGGTAGTTAGACCTGATCTGGTAGTTGGTGAATCGGCGATTTTGCCACCTGAGTTTGTAGCTGAAACTAAGGGAAGAGGTTTGGTAGCAAGCTGGTGCCCACAAGAGCAAGTCCTTAGCCACCCATCAATTGGAGGATTCTTAACACACAGTGGTTGGAACTCAACCATTGAGAGTCTTTCTGCAGGAGTTCCTATGCTCTGTTGGCCATTCTTTGCCGAACAGCGAATAAATTGTGTCTATACTTGCAATGAATGGGGCGTTGGCTTGGAGATCAATAATAATGCCAAGAGAGACCAAGTAGAGAAGCTCATTAAAGAGTTAGTGGAGGGAGAGAAGGGTAAGAAAATGAGAACTAAGGCTATGGAGTGGAAGAAACTAGCAGAGAAGGCCATCAGTTCTGATGGTTCTTCATACACAAACTTAGACAATTTAGTGAATCATGTTCTTTTAAGAAAAGGCTAGGTGCTGTCCATATGAACCTTTTTATTAGGTTTGTTGTTGGTCTTAATAATCTACAAAATGTAGAGCCTAGAGGTTATTGAGCCTTGCTATCATCTCTAATTTCTTGCTTTGCTGGAAGCTAGTTCTACATGGATCCCAATCTTCAAATTTTGTAGCTTTTTTCTTGTTATTTTTAATCCGTTTTAGATTCTTAGAGTAAGTTGTGCTTGTATTCATGCACTCCTATGAAGGAGAGTATATTCCATTTTCAACAATATTATTTATTTTATTTTATAATATGAAACTTATTAAACAAAAAATTATGGTGCCATGGTATTTCTTCATGAATATGCTGATATTTACTATACAATAATTAAATTCAAAAACCAGAACAAAAATCAAAGGAAATTAATTATTGAATAGTAAATATTCTATAACCACAAAACAGAATTGATACCTCAAGGCTGATCCCTGTACTTTGAAATTTTGTTCTGGTCATGTCGCAGGGAGGGAGTGGTGAGATATGCACTTGGATTGCATGTAGATTTTTCTTCCCATGCTGTCAAATGTTTAAGCCTTCATAATAACCTGCATAGTGCAGATGGAAATCATAATTTTGAAACAAAACTACTAGCAATATGACCCAGAGCTTCTTAAGAAAAGAGCAACAGAATAATGACAGCTAAATCATTTACAGGCCAAAAGCCTAACTGCCACTAATGACAAAATAATGACAGCAAAAGACGGTATGTTTGAGTTTTCCTTTCCCAGACAAAATAAAACAATCTAGTGCGAGGGAATGAAAGCTAAGAAATCGCAATCCTATTTGAATAAATTTTGTCTAATAGGAATTGCAATCCTATTTTCCCAAATGTTGTTGTAAAGGCCAAAACAAAAGGGTGTGACACACAAACTATCACTATTCAACATACCATGAGAGTTTGTCTACCGGAGTGCCTATGATCTGTTGGCCACTCTTTGCGGACCAGCCAACAAACAGCCGGTGTACTTGCAATCAATGGGGCAGTGGCATGGAGATGCATAAGAATGTCAAGACAGAGGAAGTGGAGAAGATTGTTAGAGAGTTGAGGGAGAGAAGGGTAAGAAAATGAAAAATAAGGCCATGGAGTGGAAGAAGCTAGCAGAAGAAGCAACTGGTGCACATGGTTCTTCATCCACACAAACTTGGACAATTTAGTGAATCGAATGCTATTAGGAAAAAGCTAGATCTTATGCTATTGTCTATGTTGGTGTTGGTCTTAATTTAGAACTACAAGATGTATTGCATCTGCATGTATGGAGGCCATTGTCAGCCCAATAAACTAGCAATAATATGTCAGCTTAGCTCTATTTTCTTATTTCATATTGATGTACCAGAGAAAACTAAAATATTCTCTCAAATATATTTTAGGAATTAGGGTTTCTAATTTTCACATTTTAATTTCAATTTTGTTTGGATCTAAAAAATAGTTTGGAGTTCGATACTAAAAAAGTTTTAGATCCTAAAATCAGTATTTTAAAACGCATGTTTTTAAAACAAAA